GCGAAAAAAAAAAATCCTGATTCTCATTGATAAATAAGACTAGCTTTACAGTAGGAGGTGTCTCTTCACTACGGCCTGTTGTGAAAATGGACAAACACTTTCACTCACTCCCCTAATGATCTTGTTGTTGATGGACTTTGTGACACACACAAGGATGGATGAATCACACACACACACACACTAGAGAAACCAACCAAGCACAAAGTGACACAAGTATTTTAGAGGTTCAGCAATTGCCTACATCCTCTTGGTGATCCTCTTGAGAAATTCACTAATGAAAGAATAAGTTACAACTTTGGTTTACAAAGAAACCCCCTTAGAACTCTATTATCTCCCAAGCTCTCTTTTCTCTCTCACCCCTTGCTCAACACTTTGATACACTTGTAAACACTCTCACAACCCTTGGTGTTTCCCCCCTTTGGTGTCTTAACTACTCAAGACTCAACTCAGCTCTCTCTTGAACTGATTGCCCTCTCTCTCTTCCTACCTTTGTGAGATAACCTCCCTTTGAACACAATAGCTCCTAGCTACTTGACAACTTTGAGATTAACCACGCATGTTGTCTTGCATCTTCTTTTCCTTTTGTAGGCAGACCTTTGGACTTAGTAGAGGACTACAATTACTCCTTCACGTTCTTGCTTTCAGCTACTCACCTAAACACAAGGTTAGGCAAACCAGAAAACAAGCCATAAAGCATGCACCCTTTGTCCCCTTGTCTCCCACCTAGAAAACCCTTTGGTATAAGGCACGTTGCCCAACTTCCTAGAACCCATAAAACTCTTTGGAGGCACTTGGAGTTAGGTAGGGAACAAGCACATGTGAAAGGCACCTTGAAAAAATGCATGGAAAAACGACACATCACGTATGGCGACCAGTCTCTTTGCACTCTGCCAGAAAGCGACCGGTCGCTTGCACCTTGCGACCGGTCGCTGGTCACGATTTCCAGCTTCTCCTCCAGACTTCGAATCTGCTTCAAAACGACCGGTCGCAAATACCCAGCGACCGGTCGCCTCTTCCTTCACTTGCATACTAAATGTGAGCCAATTTTACAACACGGCCACCAACAGGAGTACTTGACATCCCACTCCAAAGTGTTCATTCACTTTCTCAGTAGAGGGTTCTCTCTCCCTCTCTCCATGAAAATTCAAACTCAACCTTCTTGCTTAGAAGTTTGATTTTTGTTTATTATTTCAGCGCTGAGTTGAAACTAAACTTGCAGTAGTTTTGACTGAGAAGAGAACACTTAATTTTCCTTGCTCATGGCCAGATCAGTGCTGCCTTCTCTATTCAATAATTCATTGCTGTGTCTCTGCATGTCCAGGTTTTCGGCAAAAGCAGGGCATGTGCTAATTGTATCCATTTTGTTGACGACTACATTCGTAAGGATCGATCCGTTTTCTTGTATGTCATTGCCGTATGTGTCATCAGCATTATCTCTTTCAAATAATGAGCAAATCAAAAACCAAGTTCAGATACAGGGTAGTGTTAAAGGCTTAATAGGAATAAAACCTTCTTCCCTTATTTTTTTCCATATAAAATGCTGAATTCTGTTGAAGTGAGTCTCCTAATTAATCAAGGAGATTTATTTCCTTGATTAATTAAGGGATTTACTTTCCTATTTTATAGATTTATTTCCTTGATTAATTAAAGGATTTACTTTCCTATTTTTATATAGTTGTCAAATCATTGTATAATTAGGAGATACTTTCCTAATCCTTTACTATATCTAATTCCTTGTAAAGCACTCATGTAAACTCTTATATATACCTCCTTATGGAGAAGAATAAAATAAGAACCTAACATATTCAAAAACCCATATTCATATTTTAGCATGGTATCAGAGCAATCGATCCTCGGTTGTCTCTAAATTCTCATATCAAAATTTCTCCTCCCCTCCTCTTCAAAGGGGGGAGGAGGAGTGAAAAAGGATATGTTTCTCTTTCTCATGGAGATTTGGCTCTTTCTTGACTCCGACATATCCTTCTCTTCAGGGGGAAAAGAGGATTGAAGAGAAATTTCTATGTTCTTAAGCCGTGTTCACAGAGTTTCTGTGTTCTTTAAACTCCTCATATCAAATTTCTCATATTTTTTCCCAAATTCAAATCCCTCAAATCTAAATCCTTGTATCGAATTTTCTTGAACCACAAACCCTGAATCAAATCCCTCATCTCGTATTCCTCATATTTCCATATCTAAATCCTCGTATCGAATTTTCTTAAAATACAAACCCTGAATCAAATCCCTCATCTCGTATTCCTCATATTTCCGGATCTAAATCCTCATATCCTCTTATCTTGAAACCCTATACACATATTTTTTCTCTTATTCTTAAATCCTTCTGCTGCCATGGATATCGTTTCCCAACCCAAATCCGAATCCGAATCCCAACCTTCCAACCTGAATCCGAATCCAAATCCAAATCCGAATCTGAATCCGAATTGAAATCCAAATCCAAATCTAAATCCCAACCTTCCAACCTGAATCCAAATCCAATTCCAATTCCTACATCAAATTCATACATCAAATTCCTCAAATCAAATTCCTAAATCAATCGGTCGGTCGCCATTGGAAAGCGACTGCCCCCCCCCTGGCGTAGTTCTTCGAACATGGAGAATTTGCTTCAAAATTACCAGTCGCCAGTGGAAAGCGACTGGTAGTCAGAGAAGCTGTTTCAAACTGACCGGTCGCCAAAATCCAGCGACCGGTCACCAGAGGAAAACAATCAGTTTTCTCCACGCTGTCAAAATCAGGAGGAGGAAATTGAACCGTCTTATGAGATTTTGCCCACTTCAGCTCCAGTACCACACCAATCACCTGCTGAGGAAGTCATTTAGTGTGCCGGCTGACACACCCATTGAGATGAATCACAAGTTGTGTGAAGACATGGACCAAGAACCAACCAATAAGGAACAATATCAAATGCCTTGTTGGAAGGTTTATATACCTGGCACACACAAGACCAGATAGTGCATATATGCTGTGAGTGTGGTTAGTCAGTTTATGCATTCACCCAGTGTTTCTCATATGAATGTTGTTGATCGAATCTTAAGATACTTAAAGTCAGCCCTTGGAAAGGTTTTAATGTTCTCAAAACATGAAGATCTTGAAGTTTTTGGATATACATATGCTGATTGGGCTGAGTCCATTACAGATAGACGCTCTACTTTTGGTTACTTTACATTCGTGGGAGGTAACCTAATCACTTGGCGGAGTAAAAAACAAAATTTGGTTTCTCGGTCTAGTGCAGAAGCAGAGTATAGAGGAATGACTCGAAGAGTTTGTGAATTATTGTGAATCAAAAGACTCTTGATAGAATTAGGCTTCAAACCTGAAAAACCGATGGAGTTGCATTGTGACAACAAGTCAACTTTCGATATTGCTCATAATCCAGTTCAACATGATTGAACCAAACATGTTGAGGTGGATAGACATTTTATCAAAGGAAAAATTGAGAAGAAGATCATCCGCCTACCATTCATAAAATTGGAAGATCAACTGGCAGATATCTTAACCAAAGCTGTTTGTGGCAGAGTATTTCATGACTCACTTACCAAGTTGGGCATTTGTGACGTATATGCACCAACTTGAGGAGGAGTGTTGAAGTGAGTCTCCTAATTAATCAAGGAGATTTATTTCCTTGATTAATTAAGGGATTTACTTTCCTATTTTTATATAGTTGTCAAATCATTGTATAATTAGGAGATACTTTCCTAATCCTTTACTATATCTAATTCCTTGTAAAGCACTCATGTAAACTCTTATATATACCTCCTTATGGAGAAGAATAAAATAAGAACCTAACATATTCAAAA